GAGAGAGAGAGAGAGAGAGAGAGAGAGAGAGAGAGAGAGAGAGAGAGAGAGAGAAAGAGTTTCTTGGTCTTGTGGAGGGATCGGGATCCCAGAATATCCTCGGCGGCCTGGGCATACGGAGAGCAGAGCAGAGGCCGTGACAGTGCCACTTGAGATGCCAAATCTTCTTCTACTGTACAGGGCGGCGCTAGGGTCGGGTCGGTCTCCGGTCTCCATTTTGCAAATCTCCATTCCAACTGTATGTAGACTGTAGACGGCGCTGGGAGTGCCATGCTACGGTACTGATCTACCTACGTGCGTACTTCCGGTAGAGTACCGTACCGTAGCAAGTTCACCACCACGTTCTTGATGCTCAACGGGCGTACGTACGTACCCCTGCTTAATACAGTACAGTACAGTACAGTACAGTACCCGGTACCGGTGTTATACTACCTCCGTATACAACTAACTTCAACTAACTTCATACTGTAACAACGAAAAATCGCCTATCTTCCTCCTCCTCACCATCGATGCAGAAGCCCAAGCTCAACGCGTTTCAAGGACTGCTAGGTAGGTACCTAGGTAGTAGATGGCCGGCGACAGACGGTCCACACGGACCTCCATCCTTAATATAATAAACTACACCGGAGCAAAAACGAAAACGACCTACTCTTCGAGCCAGCGACGGATATGCTGAGGTGCATTCATTTCGCGAGGACCTGCTGGAAGACGCCATGTGGTCTGCGACTACTGTCCCGGGACTGGACGGCGAAAGGCATGAATGCAAACCTGGTTTACAGAGGAAGCTATCCAGAGACAATCTGGACGATTGCTTGGATCCATGTGTTCTTCAGGGTTTTTCGTGCTACAGCCAGCTACGTACTACGTACTTAGGCTCGACGGACAAAACATACGTAGTATGATAATATATGCCAGCTGCAGCCCCGGCGGCTACGGAAAGCAAGCAACCTTGAATTCTGCAGAATACATCCCTTTGTGCCACCTGGCAGTGCAAGCAAGCGACAAGGATCAAGAGTCGAGGGTCGAGGGTCGAGGGTCGAAGGTTGAAGGTCGAAGGTCAAAGGTCGCTCAAGGAAGGCATGTATATGTTGGTGGGGATACCGTTCCGGGCGCAGAGTAGATCATTTCACTATTTCACTTACTTGAATGTTTCATGTCCACTTCGTATGCGGAGATAAAAAAAGAAAGTGAGTAATGTCTAGCTTACATCGACATGCCGTTCATACGATCGGCATCTTCACAGCAGTCTAGACCTTCGACTATCAATCAATCACGCTCGCTGCCCTTCAGGATCTGCAACCAAAACCTGGAACGGGAACCCCAACGCGCCAAAAGAACAGGCGCATCTTCCAAAGATGTACGCAGTACGGTATTTCGGATGGTCAAGCTGAGGCTAAGCTCAAGCTCGACGTGGCGCAAGTAATTTCCAAGCCATGGAGAGAGAAGTTCGCCAATGTGATATCTCCAAAGACGACGTTCTCGCTACGAGCATAATCCGTGCATACCCTCCTCTACTTACGAACCTAGACCCCTTCTCATCTCTTCTTTTCTTCTTTTCTCCGTTCCATCATTTTCTTGTTTTCTTCTTCTCCTTCTTCTCCTTCTTCTTTTTCGTCTTCTCTCATTCTTCTCTGCTTCTCGTCTTCTTCCTTTTTTTCTCCTGCCTCGTGAGCCACAGCAATTCGTACCAGGTACCTAGACAAACCTACGACAACAACAACAACAACAACAACAACAACTCTACCCGTCCGTAGGATACGTAAGCTCCGCAATGCCATCCGACAAGCAGCTCCACGTCACCAGCTACGTAGAGCGGTGCTGTACCGGTAGTACGGTAGGCATGTGCTGTCATGTCTTGGGCGGGCAAAACAATATCGCTAAACCCTTCCCTCCCCCCCCCTCCAGTTGCCAATACTACCTACCTATACCTATACAATCCAATATCATATCTACTACCTACCTAGGCCCATCGACGCAAGGACAAATGTCACACGTAATTGCTTTTTTATGCATCCCCCCCCCC